CATTACCTCCAAAGTTTGCTTCAAAAACTGTCATCACATGTGAACCTCTTATGGTGTGTCTCCTTAACATTGAGAGTGAAGTAATGCTCACCCTTTTTTTCTGCTTAACTAAACACCGCCCATACTTTCTCATTCCTAGGTAACCCTCCAGGAGCAATCCTGCTTAAGAATTGCCTCATTCTTGGCTGATGGAGTTGTGGCCAACCGCAGTGCCATATTGCCTGATTCTTCAATCAACAGTATGTCATTTTATATTAAAGAATTTGATCTCTCTATTCCATTAGATGCTGAGGAAATCACGAGGTACAGTGGAACTAAGAATGTTTGCCCGCAATCATCATTTATGGGGGCAAGACTTCATGTGGAAAATCTATACTTCTGCGAGTCACCATCAGAAAAGTGTCTGTTGCTAAACCTTGACAAAGATCCAGCTTGCTTCCTTCTCTGGGGGTACCAACCTGTTGATGCAAGTCAGAGGAAGTGGGCTACTCGAGCTTCTCATCTAAGCCTCTCACTTGAAACCTCTAGCACTTCGAATGAACAGAGAACAGTTAGGGGCTCCTCTCCAAGTTTGTGGAAATGTGTTGAGCTGGATGACATCCGGTTTGAGGCAGCTATGGTTACAGCTGATGGTAGCCCTTTGTTGATTGTGCCACCCCCAGAGGGTGTTGTGAGGATTGGTGTTGCTTTTCAACAGTTTACAACCAATACTTCAGTAGAGCAGTTGTTTTTTGTGTTAGGTCTCTACACTTATTTTGGCCAGGTTGGAGAACGGATTTCAAAGGTTAGCAAAGGTAACTGCTCTGCGACAAAGACATCAGCTGACAAACGTGAGAGAAAACTGCCTAGTGACACAGCAGTGAGCTTAACTATGAATAGTCTCCAACTCAATTTCTTGGAATCTTTATCATCAAATGACTTACAATTGCCCCTGGTTCAGTTTGGTGGTGAGGATCTGTACCTGAAAGTTTCTCATCGCACTCTTGGTGGTGCCTTTGCAGTTACAACTAACTTGACATGGAAAACTGTCTCAGTTAATTGTTTGGAAGGAGAAAGTGCTATATTTGGTGAGAATGGCACTGCAGTTACTGGTGAACCTAATATTTTGTTGCATGAAAATGGGCATCCCAATATGAGAGCTGTGTTTTGGGTTGACCACCGGAATAAGAACCAGTCTAAAGAAGCTCGATTTATTGACATAGACATCACTCACGTAATGCCTTATGACATGCGGGACATGGAGTGCCATAGCTTGAGTGTATCAGCTAAGGTATCTGGTGTTCGTCTTGGTGGTGGAATGAGTTATACTGAATCTTTGCTGCATCGATTTGGTATCCTTGGGCCTGATGGTGGTCCAGGGGAAGGTCTCTTGAGGACTCTGAAAGATTTATCCTCTGGTCCACTTGCGAAACTATTCTCGCCATCTCACCTCACCGACAAGGAAGGTAGTGAATTTTCTGTCTTTGCCATTTAATTTGTTAATTCATGCTGGAAATTTTGTTGGTAAGCATGCATGTTGATTGCTTCTGCTCAGTTGCGAGATATTTTTGCTGTTTTTCCTTGTATTATTCATGGATTCTTCCCCGTTCCCCTTGAATTGCAGATGGAATGCCCAATTCCAAAGACAATGACTACAATTCGAAGTTTGACCTGGAGGTGCCAGATGATCTTGATGTGTCAATTGAGCTACGAAACTGGCTCTTCGCCCTTGAAGGCACAGAAGAAGTAGGAGATTGGTTATCGCCTCATGGCAGTGATCATATCAGTAGAGAAGAGAAATGTTGGCATACCACATTCACGAATCTACATGTGTCAGGCAGAAGTAGTGATCGGCCTGGATCTGCGGAGAAGGTGATTCACAAAAGGGCCCTTCCAATAGAACGTTTTACGGTATGTAGTGGATTATTTTCATACTTTTGCATTTCTATGTGGCACTTTTATTTTTTATCCAGTTCAATTCTGAGACACTATGCTGCACTTGCAGGCTGGAATTGAAGGTTTACAGGCAATAAAACCTTGCCTGAGAGATCAACTAATTGGAAATGCAACATCAAATAATCTTCAAACAGGCAGTGTTTTTGATAACACAAGTAGCATTGGTGACCAAGGTGTCGATGTTGAAGCGACCATGGTCATTTGCGAAGATGAGATTGAAGGTCCCAAGTGGACAATGGATAATGTCAAGTTTTCTGTAAAAGAACCGGTATGAACATCTTCTGAATATTTGTCCAAACCTCTCGGAAATTAACAACTGCTTCCTGAACTAGTTCTGTTTGTTTGACTCGGCAGATTGAGGCAGTTGCAACAAAAGAAGAATTAGAGCATCTCACCATGCTTTGTAGATCTGAAGCTGATGCAATGGGGAGGATCACTGCTGGAATTCTCCGTCTCCTTAAGCTTGATAAGTCTCTTGGCCAGGGGACTATAGAACAACTCAGGAACCTAGGTATGTGTTCCCTACATGTACCCTGATTTATTTTCTTGTAGATGCCATGCTACCCTGTGTTTTGGACTTTTCCCCTTCTTTTGCTCCTTTTTGGTTTGCTATGAATTTTTACTAGTAATACACTGCTATCAGCTACTCCTTCTGTTTCGTATTATAAGTCGTTTGACTTTTTCTATAGTCAAACTTTGTTAAGTTTGACCAAATTTATAGAAAAAATTAGTTTCAAATATCAAATTAGTTTCATTAAATCTAACATTGAATATATTTTGATAATATGTTTGTTTTGTGTTGAAAATACTATTATATTTTTCTATAAACTTGGTCAAACTTAAAGAAGTTTGACTATGAAAAAAGTTAAACGATTTATAATATGAAATAGAGTGTTCTTTATCTAACTCCTTTGTTGGGTCATTAAATGCTGCAAAGAGGAGATCTAGTTACGGTTTTTTATGCCCAAGTCGAAAAAACAATCCTAGATAAGACAAAACTGTCTCCAAATTTTTCATCGGGGGTTTTTGCCTTGGTGTATACTGTCAACAAATGCCACCTGGGAGTTATTTTGATCTGATGCTTTGTGCTTCAGCAAATTATGCAGCAATCACTATTATTTGGTTATATGCCATTGCTTTTCTTTCTTGTTTATGTTACTGTATTTTTATATTCCCTCGTACAATTTATGCTGTTAAAACTGATTCTTTTTTGGAAAATGCTTACCTACTTCATTTTCTCAAAACAATTTTAGATTATCTTATGAAATTGTGATGTCCCAGGAAGCGGAGGAATCGACAATACTTTTTCACCTAGGAAGTTGAGCAGGCAGAACAGTTTTGGCAGCATAGGTACTCCTAGGACTCCTAATCTGCACTCAACTACAGATGCAGGAACGAAAGAGTTACTGGAATCAACAGTTGCTTCATTACAAATCGAAATCTTAGAATCCAAGGCCAAATGTACAGCCCTCGTTTCCCAGGCGAGCGGTGTGGAGGATCAGAAATGCGCCGAAGACATCAGGCAATTGAATGACAAGCTAGAGAGCATGCAATCCTTGGTGACAAAATTGAGAACTTTGATCTAAGTTGCACATAGTTTTTTGTGTATAGGTTCGTGCAGTCCAAAACTTGGAAGTGGCTAATGCTGTACTTCCTCTTCATTATTCTTTTTGTGTACATCTTTATGTTCCTTGGGGTGTATACAGGTGGATTCTGGAATAATGAGCTGACACGCAGCAAATATAAAATTTTGTAGCTGGAATGTCACATGTAGCACTGTGTTCAAAACTTCAAGTGCAGTCATTAGGAATAACATTTTTGTCATCTGTATGTGACTCATGTAGTATCATATGCAAAGTTTTGCTGTTGTCACATACACCATCTTTCTACTGGTGGACTGGGTGTTTTGCGACCAAAATATGTATACATAAATAATTTTCAAAAAGAACATATGTACTACCAATATACTCTCTGTTTTATATTGTTTTATATTATAAGTCGTTTTGATTTTTATCTTAGTTAAACTTATTTAAGTTTAACCAAATTTGTAGGAAAAAAATATAGTAGCATTTTCAACACCAAACATACTATCAAAATATACTAAATGCTAGATTTAATAAAACTAATTTAGTCTTTTATATATTACTAAATTTTCTTAAAAATTAAATCAAACTTAAAAAGTTTGTAAAAAAGTCAAAACGACTTATAGTATGAAAAAGAGGAGCAAGTTTTTCCTCTGATATCTCACTTAGTACTAATATCAGCAGTGAACCTTTATTTTTGTCATGTTTCAATTTTTTGTATGGATTTATCCCGTGCAAAAATTTTAGTAATGAGAACAAGATATGAGGGGATAAATTTGTAACAAAAATATTTGAAGTACAATAAACCTATTGGACCTAGATATATGTTTGTATATAGGTGTATTTTATCGGCATACTCAATATACACGAAGGCAAATGGGTCATTTTCATGCCCCTCCATATTGGCAATGTGACATGTCCTACATATGCTAAATTGGCAATATGTAAAGATTTACTCTTCAATGACATTTTTTGTAATTTCATCCAAAAAGAGTGGCATCTCAATAGTCTAGTTGTAAAAATCGAACTGAACCAAGGGTTTAACCAAATAAACCAAAACCAATGCCTAGTCCGAAGATATAACTGACTTGAGAAAAATCATTTAAACCCAGATGGTTTACTACATAACCGAAGGAAAATTGGGGTGGCGTAGGGATTGAACCCCCCACGGTCAAGGCCCATGGGTTCTTTCACAACCTTACATAACCCTTAAATATTTTCATACCAAAAATGTATAAAAAATGAACGCATCGTATTTTAGACCTAACCCTCAAATTTTCTAATCAAAATAGTTGGGCTCGTTGCTACCTCTATTTGCATACATGCGTGCGCACCTGACTATTTAGGTTAGTTGCTATAATGGTTTTAGAAAACGAAACAAATATATATTTTATGTTGATTATTAAACCAAAATTCTCTCAATAAAATATATAATTTTATTATTTTATTATTGAACCGATGGTTGAACCGGTGAATCGGTGGATTCATTCACCGGTTCGAACACCGGTCGGGTTTAGAGAGGCAATCCGCCGCCGCCGCCTGCGCCGATCCCCATCCGCCCCGCGAGCGAGCAGAGGCGGCGCTGCCGCTCGTCCTGCTGCTTCCGCCGCATCCACATCCTTCGCCGCCGCCGCCGCCGCCTGCGCCGATCCCCCCATCCATCCCGCGAGCGAGCATCCTGCTGCTTCCGCCGCATCCTGGTTAGCACATCCTCTTTCCCATCTCTCCCTCTCTCTTTTTTTTTATCGAATTTGCGTTAACCCTAGCTTCTGTTGCAGAAATTTGGCTTAACCTTGATGTTTGTTTGTTCCCAAAAAGTTTGGGGGTGTTGAACTGAACCCCCCATGCCCCATGTTAGATCCGCCCATGAATGGATCATGATTCACTCCAAAACACTATGGAGCATCCTGTTCCTGGAGAGGAGCATGAGGAGGATAACAGCATGAAAGTGGATGTGGCATTTGATGGAGTGCACAGCCCGTTCCGGTACAGGCACAAGAAAAGGTCCAAGGTTTGGGAGGAGTACAAGCCCATCTTTCTGAATGGGAAGGTTCAGTTTGCGGAGTGTCTCTACTGCCATAATCGCCTCAGCTGCAAAGATTCCAACGGCACAAGCCATCTATGGCGGCATCAGAAAATCTGCCCTGGCAAGGAGGAAGCGGCGCAGAGGCGACAGAAGGATTCCTACTTCCCATGCGGTATACCATTCTTGCCTATTCTGGGTTCATTCATTACTCAATAGTGTAGATAAGTTAACATTGGTGTGGTTTAGGATCTTGAGATGTAGATATTCCTTTATAAAGGCGATTTACCTCAGGAATATAAATAACGTTTCCATATTTTATATGCACAGTTTTGGTGAATGAGAACGATCCAGTTTCACCCCACGATCCGGTCAATGATGTTATTACAGAGACGCTTAGTGATATAAACTCGGTAACACCCAGCGGTAACAGATTCACGTCAAAGGTGTGGAAGGAGTTTACACCTGTCTATATTGAGGGGAAACTCCAGGCTGCAGATTGCATTCACTGCCAGAAGCGCCTCAGTGCGAATAAGTTCGGGGGGAGAAGCCATCTGAGTCGACATCTTATAACCTGTGCAGGACGACGTGGACGTGGAGGGGGCCAAATTCATCAGAAGGGTTTATTTTATCCTTCTAGCGTGCCTAGTTTGAAGTCCAGGGTGCAAGATGAGCTCTCACCTGCCTTGACAAATGGGAAGGTTCAGATCGCAGAATACTCTAGCAAGCTTCTGAGGGCAAGTAGCTCTGGTGACTCGACCCCTAAGCCCATTCGAGTGGTACCAGCAGAGCATTCCGTGCCGACTCCAGATTATACAAGCCTGATGAAACAGAGGACCTCATTTGTGACCACTCCAGCTGGTCAGGAAACATCTGATCCAGACCTAGTCGGGATGATAGCTTTGCATGGTTATCCTTTGTCAATTGTGGAGCACGAAGAAATGATGAGATTTGTAAAGAAACTCAACCCTGTGGTCAATTTAGTCTCTCGCAATGCTATGGAAGAACATTGCTTGACACTATTTCAGAAGGAAAAGGAAAATATAAAGGGTAAAATTGCACATTTTTCCCGACGTGTCTCTCTGTCAGCAAGCATCTGGACTCCTGATGGACCTGAGACAACAGTAAATTACCTCTGTTTGACAGCACATTATATTGATGAAGACTGGAAAGTTCATAGGATAATAATAAAATTTGGAATGTTTTGGTCCGCGCCTGCTGATTTGGAAAGGATGATACATTGTATGGAAGCCTGTGTCCCAGAGTCTGAGAGCGGATCATATAATGTCATATTGGATGCCATTAGAGATTGGAATCTTGATCAGAAGCTTTTAAGCTTGACTTCTGTTGGTGAAGTTAGGGGTGACACCAATACTTCATTGCTAAAGGAAATGCTTATAGAGAAGAAGTGCCTTCCTATTGGAGGGACGCTATTCAATGTTGCCTGTGTGGACTATGTCCTTAACAGTATTGTTTTCAAAGTGCAAGCAGATATACTTCGTCTTGTTGGTGACATAGTAATGGATTTTTTAGTGTCATTGACCCAGCAGCAGCTTCTGGAAGTTATTTCACAGACGGGTCTAAAGTGTCCACAAGAAGATGCTAAGTGGTGGCACAAACTTTATTTTAGACTTGAAGTGCTTTTGCATTTCAAGAAGTCATTTCCTTCTGAAGAAAGGGTGTCCCCAGAAGATACAAAAACTGCTGAGTCCGTTTGCAAGATTTTGAGGACAATTTATCGTGTCATTGAAGTTATTTCCAGCCCTAGCTCTCCGACAGCAAATATATATTTTAACGAGATATGGAAAGTCAGGACAGTTTTGCAAGAAGAAGCATTAAATGATCACAGAGAAATAGCTACAGTGGCTATGGTGATGCAGGAAGCATTCAATGAGTATTGGCAAAATTCATATTTGTGGTTGGCCATACCTGTTGTGCTAGACCCTAGATTCAAATTCAGTTTCATTGAGTTTCGTCTGAAACGAGCTTTTGGAACAGATTCGGCAAGCTACCTATCTGTAATACGTGAAACAGTCCGGGAACTCTTCAATGAATACTGCCATTCTTTGAATCAGGCAAGTGATGTTGTTTCAAACAGTGAAGCTTTGTGTGCAGATGATAATGATTCGTTGGAAGATTGGGATCAGCATCTCCATGAACAAGCAAGTCGTCAGCTATCTTCGGAGCTTGATGATTACCTTGAAGATGGTTTAGTTCCTAGAAAGGATGATTTTGATATTTTAAACTGGTGGATGACTCATAGTACTAAGTACCCAACACTTGCAACTATTGCACGGGACATCTTAGCCATGCCAGCATCTGCTGTTCAATCTGAAGCAGCATTCAGTAGCAGTGGACCAGTAATTCCAAAGCACCAGAGTACATTAAACATCAGAACAATCGAGGCACTTGTTTGTACTCGAGATTGGATGAGATAAAACTGGTAAGATTCTATAAATTGCTACTCAGCTCCATCCTATCTTTGTGATTTTGGTAGTGTGAACACACTGTGATTTAGTCCATGTTTTCTTATTACCAGAATCTTGTTTCCTTGTTTTCCTGTATTGGAAGTTTGGAACCATACTATATGATCAGATGAATGTCAGAAACCAAAGCCTACAATGTTAGTAACTTTATATGGAAGTACATATTAGAATCTTACATGTTCATGTGCAATCTTAGCAGCTACATCACTTTAGGATGTTTTAGATCATGCTTGTAATTTGTAATTGAAACATTTTGATCCCATTGGCAATCATGAATATCTTGTTCTGTGATTGCATGCTTTGGATCACTTAATAAGTTTGTGCGTTATAGTTTGTGTCCATATAATCATGATGATATCTCATTAGGAACTTGATTCCTCACATCTTTTTGCTATATGCTCTTACATGACAAAAGAAGGTCGCTGTTGAAATTTCACTTATTAAATCAATGCAGTTCTGGTATATCCTCATCCAATCTATTCATGTGCAATTGCTTGAAAAATGGTATGCTGCAGTGAACTGTTGAGATGGGTTGCATGCAGCTTTCGCCGGTGGAAGATTTCAGGCAGTGTATGATGGTGCTTCTGACCAAGGATAACCGCTCTGATGATCGAGCCCCAACATGGTGTATCAAGCATTTGGGAGCTGTTAAACTTCATTTCAGTCGAGATGTGTATGCATATAAATGTTACTCCCATCACCCCATGCATTTGCCTGGTGTAGTGCAGATGTATGCCGTTGTTTAGCCAAAGTTCAGGTCAGCCCAGAGCCTTAGGTCAAGTAGGAACTAGGAGTTGTACGACGAGAATGTTGCAAATATCCTCTGTTATGAGCAATTAATCTGTGTTATGTGCAGCCTTGTTTACCTGCTTATCTGAATTGTTTGAGGGTACGTAGGCAATGCGTGTTGCTGTCTGGTCCTAATGGACCGAATTTAGGATGTGGCCCACTATTCAGCACTATCCCGTAAAGGTAAATGTTGTTTAAAGGCCCAACAGCTGAACAGCATAACCCTCATAGTTTATTAGAGAATAAAAATTAATTTATAGGTAAAATTTGTATATATGTGTTTTTATAACAACTTAAAAACTAATACTGAAAAAAAATTATGTTGAACATATTTAAAAATCAACTTCAAAATTAAATTTGAAAATTCAAACTTGACTTTTCATTTAGCTTGCGATGGGCTCTAGCCTCTGGCTAGCATAGCATGCCATGTCTGGGAGGGGGCTGGCCCATTGGTCAGACACAACTGAGCCTTCTTTTTACATGGGCCGGAATTGTAGGCCCATGTACACAGCCCACAAGGCTATTTTCTGGGCCTCTATCCTCCTCCACGCCGGGGAGCCTTCCGTCGATGAGGCTCCCCGACGCGCTCCTCCGCCGCATCGCCGTCAGGAATGGATAGTTCCAAAAACCCATCGATTTACCACATGTTCCATTAATGTAAATAATTCTACATGCTAATGCTAAAATTTAATTTCTACTCCCTTCGTATCATTTGAAGTGCAGCCATAATTTTCCACACTCAACTTTAATCATTCTTCTTATTTAATTTTTTTTAAAAAAATTAAAAACATAAGTTATGAATAAAGTATTATTCATGTTTTATTATCTCATAAAAAAATAATTATCATATTTTTTTTCAAATAAGACGAAATATTAAAATTGAGCATGAAAACTCATAATTGTACTTAAAATGGGACGGAGGAGTAGCTAAGTAGCTAGCTAAATTAAGCTAGAAGAAGTCGATGCCGCATCGCTTCTGCTGGAACTCCGGCAGCAGCTGGCCGTCGGGCCCGACCACGACGTCGCAGGTGGCGTGCACCGGGTGCCAGTGCGACCCCCAGAACGCCACGCGCACCCGTATCCTCGACCGGACCTTCACCGTGAACGCCACGCCGCCGCCGCCGCCGCCCGCCGCGGCGGCGGCAGCGTCCCTCGCCATCATGTCCGTGGCGGCGCCGGCCGGCACGGCGACGCCCTCGAACCCGACCGCCGACGTGCCCCTCGGCGGCTCGTACAGCGGCCCGCCGGTGAGGTCCTTCCCGTCGACGACCACCTCGCCGTCGCCGCGGTACTGCACCGACATGTACACCCGGCCGAAGAAGAAGGCGAGGTCGTGGTTCGGGTTGTGGATCGTCAGCTGGCCGGAGAGCGCCACCGGGCCGCCGCCGGACTGGACGCCGGCGGCGGTGAACGCGGCGACGTGGAACCGCGGCCGGTGGGGGCGGACGACGAGGTAGACGACGAAGAGGAGCACGCCGGCGACGAGGAGGAGGGAGAGGAACCACGAGCAGAGAAGCTTGGTGCAGCGCGTCAGGTGCGGCCGCTCCCTCGGCAGCGGGCGCCGGATGCGGCCGCCGGCGATGAAGCCCGCGGTGGCCGTCGGCGGCTGCGACGACATGGCGGCGTATTATATATACGTGTGCGGCGGCCGGCGAGCTTCGACGACGATGGGATGGAGCTCGTTGGTGCAGCAAAGCATGGGCGGCAAAGCATCGCCGGAGAAGATGGAATTCGGGAGAGGTTAAGGAGGTGTGTACGCGTGTACATACGTAGAGGTTGCATGGCAAGTTGGTTTTTGGGTTTCTTTTGTTGCGCGTACATGGGCGATTCTTTGAGGAGATAGCAAGGAACAAAAGGGGTAGCAGTGGCCGGTTTTCTTCGTGTTTTGGTTCTCTAATCTCCTACTTATTTTATTTGAAAACTAGCATGGTGGCCCACGCATATTGCGCGGCTAGCATCATTATATTTTCTGTCATATAATAGCATATATGTTTTCTCAATGTATTATTCAAATATATTAAAATGACTACATAATTTTAAATTTTGTACTACCTTTACAAAACTACTAATGTATAATATTCATATTGTATTTTATATATGTGTTAGTTATTAATTATTTTTAATATCAAATTTTAGTTATTTGTAAATTATATTCCTATATGGACTCTAGGCTCTTCTTTCAATATTATTTATTTTTAATTCTGAACTTTTATTATTTATAATTGTATTTCTATGTGGACTTTAAACTCATCTTTTAATATTCTTTAATTTTTAATTTCGAATTTCAGGTACTTCTAAATTGTAATCTTATATTAACTTTAGACTCTTCTTCCCATATTTTTTTAATTTCAAATTTTAGTTATTTGTAAATTGTATTTTTATACGAACTCTAAACTCTACTTTTAATTTTATTATGTTTATTCCGAATTTTAGTTAGTTTTAAATTCCTATATGGACTCTATACTCTACTTCTAATATTCCATATTTTTTAATTCCTAATTTCTATTATTTTCTTAATTGTATTTTTATATGGACTCTATACTCTACTTCTAATATTCCTTATTTTTAATTCCGAATTTCTATTATTTCCTAATTGTATTTCTATATAGACTCTATACTGTACTTCTAATATTTCTTATTTTTAATTACGAAATTATATTATTTCTATATGGACTCTATGCTCTACTTCTATTCCTTTTTTAATTCTGAATTTCAGTTATTTCCTAATTGTATTTCTGTATGGACTCTAGTCTCCTCTTCTAATATTCCTTATTTTTTTAATTCCGAATTTCAACTATTTCTAAATTATATTTCTATATGGACTCTAGTCTCCACTTCTAATATTCCTTATTTTTTAATTCCGAATTTCAACTATTTCTAAATTATATTTCTATATGGACTCTGCCTTTTCTTTTTCTTCGATTAATGTGAGAATTTCTAGGCCATGAGAGCGAACGTGGAGGCTTCCTTTTCTATTTCTTTAATAATATAATAGATTTCATATTAGTAAAATATTTGTGTTTGATTACATGGAAGCTAGTGGCACGGCTAATCAGGGTTTGCAATTTTGAAACAGGGGCTTTTGCCGGTGGGGCTAAAGAACCGAAATCACCGAAATTTCGGTATTTTTAGGCCGATTTTTTTTTGAAAATTTGATGTACTTTGGATGAATTTGAATAAACTTTTACCAAATTCACAAAAAAAAGAGAAAAAAACTGAAAATTTCAGGAGATATATGTGCTTGCTGGTGGGGGCGAAATTACCGAAATTTCCAAAAATTCGTCCCGAAATTGCAATCATTGCAGCTAATAGTGTTTTCAAAGATCAACTAGTTTACAAACATCGATGGTAATTCGTAGTGCAGATGGCCGCCCAACCTGCCCGAGAGTTGCCTCCATCATTTGGGATCTAAGTGCGCTCGCCTAACATACGTGGAGAGAAATAGAGCCCGACAGTAAAATATATCACTCAATTTCTATTAAATACTGGAGGTGTGCAATAAGGAGTGTTAAGATTTCGGGCAACTAAATTTTTCAAAAATTTAAAGCGGGTTTCTCACCCTTGGATGATATATATTTCAATGGCTCTCATCAATCCTCTATTATTTATTTAAAAATGACTCTTCTTTCATAGATAAAAGTTTAAACAACATTTTTTCTAACATAAACATGAAATAAATTTGCAATTAATATTACAAAATTACCGGAAAAAATGTTCAAACTTGGATAAGCATAAATCAAAACCATTTACAAAAAAAAAATGTAGTTCAAATGAACTTAAATTACACGTAGCACTATAATTTTAGGCTTAGCAATGTACAATTTTGGGTGAAAATTTTCAGACAGTTCAAATCTAGCAAATACATGTTTCTATTTCAATTAAGGCCAGTAAATTAATACTACTATACAGGTAGATGTAAAAGTTCTGTTGTTACTGCAGATGTTGATAGTATGGCGCAAGGCTGGAAAGTGATGAAGAAGCGAGACTTAAGTTTGAGAAGTTGACCGAGTAGATATGCCACCGTATGTACACACCATGTGGAGCTAGCTTAATGACTTGGTATGCTTCTTCCCCCCTGGCTAGGGTCACTCCATGAATATCCACTTCACAAAGTAAACTTTTCTGACCAAATGGCCAGCGAGCATATTTCGGCCTCAAGTTTCTTCTGCAGCCGACATGACTTCTTGCTTGTCGATACTGCTATAATGCAGAATCATAATTAGCCCAATTCGTTTTTTGATTTCTCCATTTCAATCAGTAACACTTAACACCCAAAATCATACAGTTGCTGGATAGCGGTACATTACATCACAGTACTTATCAAACATGTAACACCGAAGGCATTACGCAACATTTTATTTCCTTGAATGAAGCAAATAGTTTACTTTGATTGTACATCATAATACAAACAAAGGCATAACAAAACATATTTCACAATAATTCTACATATACCAAGGAATATCAAACAGCTAACACTTCAGACAAATGCAGTTCAGCGGTTGTATATATATTTGCAGCCTAATTCACAAAGGCACAGTGCTTCCTGATCTCCCCCTGGGCGCCGGTGAGCACCTGCATGTTCCCCATCTTCACCATGGACGCCGCGAAGTCGGCGAAGAACTCCGCCGGGTAGCCGGCGACGCCGGCCTGGCGGAGGATGTAGCCCCTGGTGAAAGGGTCGAGCATGAGCGTCTCGTCGGAGGTGAAGAGCGCCCTGCCCCTGGCGATGTGCCTGTAGTAGCTGGTGTCGAACGTCCTGAAGCTCCCCGGGTCCATCTCCACCAGCGTCGTCTTGTCGCCGGGCTGGCACTTGCTCTTCAGCCTCGGCACGTAGTACTTGTCCAGCGTCGGGTCGGCCATCATCATGCCGCTGAAGTTGTACAGCCGGCTGGCGAAGGATGAACAATGGGAGGTTCCAAGAGTGTGCCCACCTGTGAACAATGTGTCACTTCTCAAATTGCATATGCACATTTGTGATGAGTTCTTGGTAATTAAACAAGTTTGGATTGCAATTTTGCCATGGTTTTGAATCTCTGGCTATAGCTGTTTGAGAAGAGTCTTAGCCACTATAGCTCCATTAAGTTCGCTATAGCTGTTTGAGAAGGTCAATCGCTAAATATCTTAACCCGCTATTTAAAACCATGAATTTTGCAAGTGCACAAATGAGTATGGTGCTGAACAGGAAACGATGTTTTGACCACTCGAATAAAGAGCTATGCTGTGTTTGAGGATAAAGTGGTCTTGGTCTCCTGGCTTGGTTCTGTACTGTGCCATGTGATTAGAACTAAGAACCACATAGTTTTGTACTTCCCATTTTGTTGACTTGGTATGCGCATATGATACCTTCCTTTATTAACAAGTTGTATAGTAATTAAATAAGTGATCACCTTTATTGGAGAATGCTACTGGGATATATCGGGATCAGCAGAGTGTTTAAAAGGAGCACAGGCAACAGAACCGAGAGTTGCAACTTTCAGTAAGTACAGTATAAATCATCTAGGGAGCTAGTCTATGAAGATTAAACATTGAAGTTAGTGAAGAATAGTATATACCTAGCAGAACCACCTGATCCTTTGCGTCAAGGCCCTTTGGGATGAAGAATTGATACAAGTTCCGCGTGGCATCGAAGAAGGGGGGAGGGAGGTTGTTCACAGCATCATCCTTCACTGATCTTGTCCCATCCCTCCGCCCAGTTGGAACTTCCCAGTGAGGCCCTTTGGTCTGTTGCACAAGGGAAGAATAGGGACTTTTCTCAACTATAGTTCTAGTTACTGTAAGCAGCAAGAAATCCAATAGCCACGTAGAATATGGTGAAAATCAAACTGTGTGGTTTTCCACTATTGTCGGCCTAAAACAGCCAATTCTCACCACTTAGCCAAACTATACTAACTTTTCTAACTAAAGAATGAACTAAGATTAATGAACATGGAAGCTAGTTCTTACCAAGAAGACAACATCTCTGGCTACCAGAGCAAGGATATCAGCACAGGACACAACTCCAGGGCAGGCTTGCTCCAGCTTAGCTTTGACACGGTCTATTGTGCCAAAACCTCGCAGACTGAGGTTTGGTATTGATTCCTTCTCAGATGGTGATCCTGGTGTGCTATCCAGAAGTATAGAGCCATCGCAACCCTGCAAAACACATAGAGGCACATAGCTTAGTAGGATAAACTCAATTCAAAATCAAAACAGCTCAGAGCATGGTAAGCAGTATGCATACATTCACAAAACAATCATGGAAATGCATGCGAAGTAGAGGGCCTGCGAGACTTGGAACTCGGGATATGATCTTGGTCATCTCATCACGAACAATGACCTCTGCTTTTGGACATGTGTATTGGTAAAAGCCAATGTTTAGCCCTGGTGGATTGGATAATACTAAGGAGAACTGTAGGACAAGAGAAAGGACAAATCCGAAGAGGAGTCTGTAAGGCATGTTGTGCATGACTACTGTGGAACCACTGCCTATGATGAAAGAGTTGCCTTCTATGATTGTTGAGGCAAATTATAACTTGCAGCCTGCTTTATAGCTCAGTTGCTTAGGTTGTACTATAGTAAACAAGTGACATAAACCATTTCCCACAGCTTCATTTTATTTTTCCTAATGCAACAAGCAGATGGTCTAAGACTTGGAGATCGAGATTTTACAAGCCCTATGAGTTGTGTGCATGTACTTCAATTGAAGAATACGCAAGTCTTGGATCAGGCATCTAGATAGTATTACCTGGTAATATTGCATAATTAGTTGGTGGTGGTCATCCTTCGTGGCTTGTGCACTTGTGAGTAATACAGGCTCTTGTATTGATGAATAGGTCACGACATGTTGCTAAAAGGTAATACTCTCTAGCTGTTCTAATTTTTTATTTTAAATATTATATGGGTTGAATTTATTCTGGTAAAGAAGTTCAGAAGGATTCAAAGATATGAGATAATATATCAGTTTATCCGTTGTCGTTTGTTCCAGAGGAAATTGTGTATGTTCATGCAAAGTGGAAAAGAAAGAAAAACAATCCATTTCCTGTTTTGTTAGTATTTAAGGGAACCAGGGAATATAATATGGTTGCCTCGCTATGACATTATCACTGCTAGTTTCTCTTGGGATTGCATCTGAACACTAAAGGAACTGCCCATAATAATTTCTTAACTGGCACCAGTCAGTTAAAGTAAATAATATCAAAGCAACAACCCATTGTTTGATGAAATCAATCTTCTTCCTTTGAAATTAAGTTGAGAAAAAAAAAGGTTGCATGACAGTTGTGCTCGTGTCAATGAAGCAAATCAAGGGAGAAAAGTTAGAAGAGAATCAACATGATCACTGCTAGCTAATTATTGAATGCCAAACGGGTGCAGAAGCATCTCAGGCAATGTGCAGATACTTCATTTTGAAGCAAAATTTAGGTTTGATCAAGCATATAAACACTCTAAGAAAGATGAGAACATGATGTGCAAGTTATGGAAAAAGATTCTCTATGTTTGAATAAAAAATGCAAGAGTTTGTGTAAGTAAACCTTCAGTGAATCCCTATCATACTGAGAAAATCGGTCCATTGGTCAGATATTAGTTGCAGCCTTTAAGTTAATAAATAACTGCTGGGCTCAAGATAACCTTCCGCTGAGCTCTCCAGAGAATAATAATAAAAAAAAGGTGAAAACAAGTCAGGAGTAGTGAACAGAACCAATGGTGGACACCATAGTGCGTGGGGGTACAGATGCACCCCTAAAACTTGAAAAAACACCAAATATATAGGATTACATGTACGTATACAATGTGCACTTAGATAAGAATCCCAAAGTGTTAAAAATTTTGTATGTAATACATGTCAAACTTTATTTTTCTTTATTTTTTTAGATTCCATTGGTCTTTATAGGGCATATTTTAATTTGAAAACAAAAATTCAAGATTAAACATTGGCCATTGATTTCTCAGAATTATATTCTTAATAGCTATAAAGCCAATATTTTGTGAACGCACTTTGAAATATGAATCTATGGGCACAAATTTCACATTAAATATATATTAATTATATTAATTTGATTAATTGCTGGTCAAAATATACATAATTTGACATTTTGAAATTTAAAGATGCCCTATAAAAAATCAATGCAGGTTTTTTTTTTCTGTCTGTTGTAATGGAATCATGGAATTTTCTCTATCAATATTCCATACTATCTACTAGTGCATCATTACATCTTCACCCCTATTGTCAAAATCCTGCACCACAGGAGATAACAATGGTTTAAGTGTTCACTACCACATGGCTTGGGCAATGTATTCAATTACTCTTGGAGTAACTGAAAAGTGATGTCTTTTGGTTGTTCAAGAATTCAAGTCTAAGACATTCACAGCAGGTAAAGAAATTTTTAGTTGACCTAGCTCAAAATGTGTGCTTCACTCAAACAGCAAGGGAGTGCAGGACAGTTTTGACCATGAAGTTGTTCAACAATGGTGGACATTGACAAGTTCGACCTTTTCCATAGGAATTAAACAGTACTCCAATTTTTACCTCATGACTTGTTCATGCACATAAGAAAAAAAATGCCAACCCCTTTAGTCATGTTCAGCAGCAACTCACAGTCTAGTTAATACTTAATAAATGTTTTCTACGATATTCTTATAGGACATCAAAATTGCTTTTAAAAGAGAAGGGTTAATATCCCATAATTATTCTGTCTAATCAACGTTATGTGACTTGCAAAAACACATCTACAGTCCTAAACAATTATGGGACTAATTAAGATTTAAAGCACAGTAACAATTCAGAAAATTATTTATCAAGGAAAGTAACCCACAGAAGTCAGATGAACAAAAAACTTACACTGAACGAACATGATGGCAGGTGAATTTGTGATAGGTCAATAGGTCATGAGCTATTCACTGTTTAACTGAACAGGCAGAAATTGGTTAACTCTGGAGTCTGAACTCTGAAGTGTGTTGCGGCTTGTCAAAGTGGCCCAGAATTTGAGGTTCATCTGATGCATCTATCAGTGGCTAAAAACTGTGATACAAATTTCTTGCAGTGGAAAAGTTTCTGTCATATTCAGATGACACTGAAACCAACTTCCTTTCCATCTGTTGTTTCATCTATTACTTCTCTCGTCCTCTGTGCATCCTCCCATAGACTACATTCTGCATACATGTTTGCAAGAACAGCATAGTTTACAGAACTCCCAGGATCTATACTAAAAAGGTTCTTGGCTGCAGTTTCTCCAAGAAGCATGTTTCCATGCAATTTACAGGCTCCAAGCATTGCACCCAGCATTGATGAGTTGGGTTTTAAGTTTGTCTTCTGGACAAGTTTCCATGCATCTTCTAACTGGCCTCCACGAGCAAGAAGGTCAATAGCAGAGCTGTAATGCTCAGCTCTTGGATCAATACCATACCTGCTCATCATGGAAGTAAAGTACTCCATCCCTTTGTTTGTCAAACCACAATGACCACATGCAGATAGAAGAGAAAGGAATGTCACATCGTTTGGCCTAACACCATCTTCCACCATCCTATTAAAAAGAGTCACAGCATCTTCTCCAGAACCGTTTCTTCCACAGGCAGTAATAAGTGACGTCCAAGAAATCACATTCCGATAGGGCATTTCATCAAAAGCACGCTTGGCATCTGAAAATTCTCCTGCCTTTGCATACATATCAACCAGAGCATTGTCCAATGCAATATCACCCATAGGCTGCTTCTTGCACATATATGCATGAATTTGTGTCCCAAATCTTGCAGAAGCAACGCTTGCACAAAGGCAAAGCACTGAGCTTAATAGAACACCATCAATCCATAAACCCTTCCGATGAATTTTACAGAAGAGCTCCATTGCATCTTCACTGTAGTTTCTATCCATGGTGTACCCACTGATCAGTGCGGTTGATGACACGAGATCTGGTTCAGAGATGGAATCATATATCACTCTTGCGCTGCTCATACTCCGACATTTTGCGTAAGAGTTGATAAGTGATCCGATGACAACCTTTTCATCCCAGTAACCCAATTTGATGATGCAACTGTGAATTAGCTCAACATTGACAGCAACACCGACTATTCCACATGCTTTTAGAGCACTTCCAAGCGTGTAATGGTCAGGAATCATCGCTGTCAATTATTTTGATGTAAAAAAAAGAAAGCACTTTCAATTTTAGTGCCAATACCATCAGCAAAAACTACCTTGCAATTTCATGCTAGGACATAATAGGCAGCATGATTACAGGAAAAATGCTCAAGATTGTTAAAGCAAAAGGAGGGACGGCATACCTTCTTTCAGCATTGAAGAGAATAATCCAAGCGCATCACCGTCATGCCCGCGTTCCACAAACCCCCTGATCAGGGCATTCCAGGACACCACATCCTTCTTCCCCATCTCCGCGAACAGCTGCCGCGCATCCTCCACGGACCCGCACCTCAGGTGCATGTCCATGAGGGCGCTCTGCACGAACATGTCGCCCGCAAACCTCCCCTTGGCAGCGCACGCGTGCACCTGCTCCCCGCTCCTGGCGCACCCGGCCCCCGCGCACGCGCTGGCCGCGCTCCCGTACGTGAACTGGTTCGGCCGCGCGCCCGACGCGCGCATGAGCGCGAACAGCTCCAGCGCCTCCCGCGGGCGCCCGTTCCTGGCGTAGCCGGAGACCATGGCCGTCCAGGACACGACGCTCCTGTGCGGCATTCCATCGAACACCTTGCGGGCGGCGGCGACGTCGCCGAACCGCGCGTAGAAGATGACGAGCTTGGTGCTCAGGTGCAGGTCCGGAGGAGAGGCGGACGCGGCGGCGACCCTGCCGTGGACGGACTTGCCTTGCCGGAATGCGCAGGAGCTGATGCAGCACTGGAGCAGGGAGGAGTATAATGGGGCGGTGGGTTTCGCCCCCATTAGGAGCGCCATTCGCGCGCGCTTTTCTCCCTCCTCGGAGCAATTTTGATCTCCCGAGACTCAACAATTCATGAATTCATGAATTTATGGCAGGGTTTGGCAATCCAATAATATGAGCACGAAACACACCAGGAGCAAAAATCTGAATATATTTAGATTCAGTTCTACTAACCGGCAGTAGAAATGAGCAGCTGCAAATATATTTTTCATGCAAAAGGGCTAGAAAACTGAACTATACAAAGTTGGCTTCAATCCATAAATCCAATAAAGGCCTTCTGAAGAATCAAATTCAGTCATACCACCATCAGTTATCCATCTAGCACATGAAAATCAAAGTGTGAAAAAAAAGGTGATTGGATAAATTAAACGTACCGTTATGATTCAATAGCATAGAAGAAAGATTAAATGGAGAAGAAGAAAAAATGGAGATGAAGAAAAAATTATGTGCTTTTGCAGATTGGAAAGCAGACAAAAGGGAATGACCAAATTTTTTAGGCTGAAGAGAAGAAGCAGAAAGAGATAGGACAGAGGGGACGACACCAAAAACAGTTGAACTGCAGCCGCGCAGGGACGCTGGTCGCTGGAGCCGGCGAAGGAGCTCCTTGGCGGCGGCCATGGCGCCGACGGACGTGGGTGGCAGCGGCGGCTGGAGTAGGACGCGATGGTTGGGATTGGGGAATGGCCGAATGGGCCCTCAACCATTTTTGGGCCCAAACCAATTTTTTTTCAATTTTGCTATATCTCACTCGAAAGATTTTTTCTTATCTCTCACTCGATTTTCTCACTTAAATTTACAGTGCATTTTCTTGTAAGTTACAGTGTAATTTATGAAACTTACATTGTAACTTTTGTAAGTTACACTGTAATTTTTGAATCTTCGCATGTAAATTTTAAATTTTGTATTGGATTTGGTCTTTTTCTTTTTTATTGGATTTGGTCTTTTTCTCGAGGATATGGTAATTTAGTGTCCATTATGGTGTTTCTTAATTACTTTTTACTTTTTATTATATCTATCGGATTTTAATTCAAAGATTAAAAATCTGTGTGATACGATCATCAAAATCTGTGTGATACGATCATCAAAATCTTTCGAAAGATGTATAGGTACTCCCATTTTTTTTAGGCACCAAACCGCACCAGCCCAATTGTGAAATCAACCAACACCATTAGAATTCCAAGCATCAGAAGCCGTAAAGACTGAAATGCGCATGAAATCAACAAACATACCAGGATAGATAACCAAACCAACATCGACACCCCAATTCCAAGCATCAGAAACCGTCAAGCGCAAACAGATTGATCAACAGGCACGCGCAACAGTGGCCGGTTACGACCATGTGAGCAATGCACAAACAGAATCTCATCTCGGATCAAACATCTCAGAAACATTAACAGAAGTAGAATGATAATATCATCGATTGGTACCGATGCACAGTGAAGCAAATTGTACTAGTATGGATAATAGTATCAACACAACTTAGGGACTCTAAACCAGAACACAACACAACCATGACACGATGATATGACAGACGAGCGGCATAGGTATAATGAAGTCCAATGCTGCACCACAGCACACGCTCAGAGACCACCACGGAGGCGCAGGACAAGGTGCAGGGTGGACTCCTTCTGGATGTTATAGTCGGCAAGGGTGCGGCCATCCTCGAGCTGCTTGCCGGCGAAGATGAGGCGCTGCTGGTCTGGAGGGATGCCCTCCTTATCCTGGATCTTGGCCTTCACGTTGTCGATGGTGTCAGAGGACTCAACCTCCAGAGTGATGGTCTTGCCAGTGAGGGTCTTCACGAAGATCTGCATACCTCCACGAAGGCGCAGGACAAGGTGCAGGGTGGACTCCTTCTGGATGTTGTAATCTGCAAGGGTGCGACCATCCTCAAGCTGCTTGCCAGCGAAGATGAGGCGCTGCTGGTCTGGTGGAATACCCTCCTTGTCCTGGATCTTGGCCTTCACATTGTCGATCGTGTCAGACGACTCAACCTCCAGGGTGATGGTCTTGCCGGTGAGGGTCTTCACGAAGATCTGCATACCTCCACGAAGGCGGAGGACCAAGTGCAAGGTGGACTCCTTCTGGATGTTATAGTCAGCAAGGGTGCGGCCGTCCTCAAGCTGCTTGCCAGCGAAGATGAGCCGCTGCTGGTCTGGTGGAATACCCTCCTTGTCCTGGATCTTGGCCTTCACATTGTCGATCGTGTCAGAGGACTCAACCTCCAAGGTGATCGTCTTGCCAGTAAGGGTCTTCACAAAGATCTGCATACCGCCCCGGAGGCGCAGGACAAGGTGCAGGGTGGATTCCTTTTGGATGTTGTAGTCTGCAAGGGTGCGGCCATCCTCGAGCTGCTTCCCAGCAAAGATGAGACGCTGCTGGTCTGGTGGGATTCCCTCCTTGTCCTGGATCTTGGCCTTCACATTATCGATCGTGTCGGAGGACTCGACCTCCAGGGTAATGGTCTTGCCGGTGAGGGTCTTCACGAATATTTGCATGCCTCCACGAAGGCGGAGGACAAGGTGCAAGGTGGACTCCTTCTGGATGTTATAATCCGCGAGAGTACGCCCATCCTCAAGCTGCTTGCCAGCGAAGATAAGGCGTTGCTGGTCCGGAGGGATGCCCTCCTTGTCCTGAATCTTAGCCTTCACATTGTCAATCGTATCGGAGAACTCAACCTCCAAGGTGATGGTCTTGCCAGTGAGGGTCTTAACGAATATCTGCATCTGGAAGAGGCAAGAAAGGATTGGAATTAACATAGGTAAAAAAAAGCAGCTGGAGAATAAGTTGGCACCAGATCCTACGATATCGGTACTGTCAGCTCAAAATAGATGAACATATCAATCACATCATACTACACTACAATTGGACAGCATCATTAATCATAAGAGCGCTGCTCACAGCTCACACCACATCAACAAGCAACAACCAAAAATATCTTCAGATAATAACAAAACTGACATAAGTAACTACAGGACAACAGATCTATGTAAGAACACAGAATAAAGCCACCTAGTTCTAGCATCTGACAGATTTGATTTGCACGAGTAAAGCAAATAAAACGGGTAAAAAAACACAGTACAACATCAGCACTACAGTTCAACTAGGCAAAGAGCCAGATACAATACAGATTAAATTGACCTTAGAACCCAAGCTCTACAGTTCAAGTAGGTGTACACGATACAGATGTAATTCTCTAACCCAGCTCCACACAATTCCAATCCAAATCCAGGGGAAAAAAACTAAGAACACAATTCCAATCCAAATCCAGAGGAAATAAACTATGTGTCGCCTAACTCAACCTAAAGATTTTAACCTAACGAGCTATTCATCTATTGGAACAATATCAGAACAATCCCATCCGAACTAAGCACAAATAAGTAAAACTAAATCTGATCACAAAACTCAAACTATGTGGCAGGATCAAAACATAACTGTGAACTACTCTTATTATCCATCATTAGGGTAATATATCGAAACAATCCCCATCTGACACATCATTAGGGTAATATATCGAAACAATCCCCATCTGACACATCATTAGGGTAATATATCGAAACAATCCCCATCTGACAGAACAATCTCAAAACCAATCCATCTATTAGATCGATATAAATAACACAGATCCCTACCTCGATTCTCACGAAACCCTAAATCAATGAGAGATTAAGAGGATTACCCTAAAATCGCACGAAACCGTAACTCGATTAAGAGGTGGATCACCCTAAAATCGCACGAAACCCTGAGAGATTGAGACTAACTCGCACGGGATCCTCCTACGCTTTCCACCACGAGCATCAAAATCGCGAGATTAGACGGGCACCACGAGAGATTCGAGGATTAGGACGAGGTGATTGATTAGTTACCTTGACGAGGCGATTAGAGAACGCAAAGCTTCGCTCCCCCTCCCCTTCGGTCGATTCGACTCGCTATGCGATTAATGGAGAGAAAACCTCTCTATATAAAGCGTGGGCAAGGCGGTGCGAGGCAGCATCCGGTGCGGTCACCGCCACGCGTACGGCCCAATGGCAGCACCACACGTGTCCATGTAGTTGGAGGCGCGACACGTGTCCGGTCCCGGTACGACCATCCAGACGGTGCCCGGAACCAACTCCGCGTCAGGTCATGCCGCCTCTCTTTGACGAAGTCGGCATGCCTGATCAAGACCGTACGTTTCCGATCCAACGATCAGGAAACATCGTACTTGATCTGCTATAAGCTGCGTGTGGGCCTTAATAATCCTCTGGGGAAATATTTGTGGGCTGAAATGAACGGGATATTGGGCCTAGACAAACCAGGGCCCATGAATTTTACGGCCCAATAGATTGTTGAGACCTAATTGGCTAAGCCCAACTCGCGCACTCTGACCAACCGATCGGAAGTTCGCGTCCACGCCGCCCTGCTCCTCCGTCGCCGCCGGCTCGGCGGCTGACCCCCGCGCCGCCGCACCAGCTGCGCGCGCGCGCGCGCGCGCCCCCACCACCGCGGCCTCTCCCTCCCACGCGCAGAGGGCACGGGCAGAGGCCGCCGCGGCGCCGTACTCGCCGGCGCTTCGTCGGCCTCGGCCTCGGGTCGAGGCCGGTGGCGGGGCCTCGTCAGATCGCCCCCCTTCCTGTGCAGTAAGTATTTCCCACGGACCCAATATGGATTCGTTGTTCTAATCGATAGCTGCTATCAGAGATGGGTTCTTCTGCGTGATTTACCTGTTCTTCACATCCTCTGTCGATATGGGGTTGGGTGGGGTTCGTTTCTTGCGCTAATGCAAGATTTGAACTTGCAGGCGTGCTCTGCTGTGTGTGCGTGTGTGTGGCAATGGCGTTGATGCGGCGGAGAGTCGGGGGCTACATTTGCTCGGAGCTGTGTGGCTCGGTTATGAATCAGAGGCTGTACTCTTCGAGGGTGGACTGGAAGCAGCTTCGGCCTATGATCCTCAAGAGGATAAAGAACCGGGCAAAGGAGTATCCAATCAAGCGCATGATTCCAGTAGCGGAGGAGGTAGTCAAGGCTAGAGAGATTGTCACCAAAGGTGTCTCGACGCTGCTTCAAGTTGTTCCCATACATTCATGCAAGTAAGGGCGAGAAATGTGGAATTTTTATGTATTTGTCTGTTTGTCTTAACACTTGGGGAAGATAGTATGGCTAAACAAGTGTTTTATTTGTAGTAGATCAACTTCAATTTAGGCATGCACTAAAAATGTTCCAGAACATCCAGAAATGGGGCAACATTACAAGATTACCAGTCTTCTATAGATTACCGTTGTTATTGTGTACCTTGATTGCATATAGCCATGATTGCTTTTCTTGCCATGCCAAGTTAAGAGCAGCTCTCTCTGATGTGCATGTTTGATATCATTTTCTTGATTCCTGTCCTAAAATATTATTGAATCTTTCTAACACCTTGTGTTTCTATTCTCACTGAAGGTTTTGTCCCGAAGTTCATATTGGAGCTGTAGGGCATGAGATGCAATCCTGTCATGGTTTCAAGCGTATGATCAAGAACCAGCCGCATAAATGGGGTCCAGGATGCTTGAATGACATCCTTATCCCTGTTGAATCCTTCCACCTGGAAAACACGTTCCAGGATGAGATAAAACATGACCAGAGGTTTGATTTCCCTCGTGTCCCAGCGGTACTCGAGCTCTGCCATCAGGCAGGTGCAGATATACCTGATGAAGTTTGGCATAGGAGTGGCACGTCATCTGCAATAGTCAGAGAAAATGATGAAAAACCTGCTGCTTTTTTGCCAGAAGAGCTTAGATTCATAGGTCAGAGGACAATAGAAGCATGGGAAAGGCTTAGATTAGGTGTGACAAAACTCCTATTGGTTTACCCATCCAAAGTGTGTGAGCGTTGCTCTGAAGTGCATGTTGGGCTGTCAGGGCACAAGGCCAGAATGTGTGGGGTATTCAAGTTCGAGGGCTGGCGTGGTAAACACAAGTGGAAGAAAGCCGATGTGGATGACCTAGTTCCTCCAAAGATTGTTTGGCACCAGCGACCTCATGATCCACCGGTTCTGGTCGACGCTGGGAGAGACTATTATGGTCATGCACCTGCGGTCATTGAGCTTTGTATGCAAGTGGGCGCAAGAGCACCCCCAAAATACCATTGCATGATGAAGGCGCAAGGCCTAGCACCGCCAATTAAATGAGGCCAGGGGATCTAAGGAGTTGATTGCCAAATTAGATCAGCACCATGATGTTATACAGGAATTGTACAGATCAGACATCAAAAGACCAATGCAGAGAAACTCCAAGGTTGCAAATGTTGTGATTTTGCCCAAGACATTAGTTCTTTGAAGACTGCATGTTATCAGAATTCAGGAGGTCAGAACTAACACAATTATTTATACCCATTGATCTGAGTGAGAGCCCTCAGATGATAACAAGGGAAAATTGTTTCTGTGGACAACTTCGTGCATGGTAATTTATCGACTATCAGCATTGTTAAGTATTCAGAGCGATTACTTTGCTGCCCTTTCATTTGTTCATCCTCCATCATTTGCCAAGAATACGGGTGGAAGGGCTTTATGAGCCTGCTGTTTGGTCTTCTTCTCCTCTGCTTGACTACTGTAACATCATTGGTTTCTGCTGTTTTGTGTAAACTTTCTCACATTACCTAGACATCCTTATAGGCAGTTCTGTTATAAGTTAGCCATGTAGAGACGCCTTGTTGCAAGCTGCAACATATGGTGTGGAACATCACAGAGGAATGTAATATCACTTGCTGTATTGTAAGCCCTAGTCAAAATCCCTCCTTGAAGCTGTAATCTGTGTACAGATTTTTACCTGGGGCTCCTTTTGCTGTGCCAATAATTACAGCCACGTTGGCTGATTTTTTTTTTCTGGAGATAAATGAATGGATGGTGAAGTTTTTGTTCTTTGTATTTGAAGTTGAACATTACCTCGAGTACTTGACCCCATATGTTGCTGATGTTTTTTCAGTTCAAGTAATCTTGTCTCTCTATGAATGCATCATTCTGGAAATTAAAGATTACTTGGTTGGTATTTGATGCGTCTAACCTGTTATTAAATTTTCTCTGCAAAACGTGTCACTCAATTGTACTTCTTCCGTTTCAAGTTATAAGGGAACTGTTCACTTTGATGCAAAAAAAACCTTACCAAAATTTGGATGCCAAAATTTTGGCAACTTACCAAAATTTTGGCAGGATTTTTTATATAGTTACCAAAATTTAGCAGCAAACTAAATGTAGCCATTTTTTTTTGTAACTTTACCAAAATTTGGTAAGGTTGAAAATGACATCAAATTGAATAGGCCCAAGATGTTTTTGATTTTGGTCAAAGTCAAAGTATTTTAAGTTTAACCAAATTTATAGAAAAAAATAGTAATATTTATAACAACAGCATAGTAATTGAATAAATTTTCATAATATATTTTTCTTGGATTAAAAATATTATTATATTTTTTCTATAAAATTAGTCTAATTTAAAATAGTTTGACTCGTAACCTGAAATGTATGGAGTACCATGTAAACACTTTTTACCGTATGTGGCCGTAACCTGGAAGGAAACATTAGCAGAATTTGCAACCGACATGATTTCCTTGGCTACCAATCTTCCTTCTGCGCGTGCAATTTTGGTACTTCCGTCAGTTCCGTGTCGCCGACGTACCCGGATAGAAACCGTGAGAGCCAAGTTTGGCAGCGGCGTACGAGGAGGATTCTACTCGCGACCTGGGTAGTGGGGACCGTAGATGCGCCGTCGGACGGCCGAGATCACGCCACGTCTAACAACTTATCCGACGTGGACTCCACGTACGACTTGGACTCCTCGGCTTGAACCTTTCGCGTCCCCTCATAAATACACGCGAGGAGGCGCCCCCTGATTCGTGCAATGCAAAAAACGAACGCGAAGAACACGAATCCTCCGGCGATCTCGAGCGCAACGATCCCCAGAGCCAAGAAACCCGCCGCTGCCGCCGTGTCGCCGTCGTCGAAGTTGGCGAGCAGCAACAAGGTCACCAAGGTGTCGCCGCCGCCGCCGCAGTTGTCCGCGCTGTGGGCCGCCGCCTCGTCGTCCGACGAGGAGGAGGAGGCCGTCGCCGTCGCCGTCGCCGTCGTCCCAGCGCCGCCGCCGCCGCAGCCGGCGAGCAAGAAGGGAAAGTACGTCAAGGGCCGCGCGGCGTCCAAGAACAAGTACCTTGTCCCCCGCCGCGGCGAGGAGGATCAGGCGGCGGAGGGCGGCGGGAACAGCGGCAGCAAGTTGATGTCCGGGGCGCCGGAGGAGTTCGGCCTGCCGGCGGGGACGTTCGACGCGTTCGCGGACGCGGAGGGGGAGGACGCCGCCGCGGCCGCGGCGCCGGCGGCGACTACGTGCACGTCCGCGTGCAGCAGCGCAATGGGCGGAAGACGCTGACCACCGTGCAGGGGATCGGCGGCGAGTACAACTACGCCAAGGTGCTCCGCGACCTCAAGCGGGAGCTCTGCTGCAACGGCAACGTGGTGGAGGACAAGGAGCTCGGCAAGATCATCCAGCTGCAGGGCGACCACCGCAACAGCGTCTCCGACTTCCTCGCCAAGGCCGGCATGGTCCGCAAGGACAACATCAAGGTCCACGGATTCTAAGTCCAGAGAGATCGTATATCACTTGGGTTTTAGTATAGGTTCTTAATTATCAGTTTTGATTAGTATAGGTTCTGGTTCAGTTTAGCAGTGTGTCGTGTCTGCCGTAATGGCTTGCAGTCGTCAGGTTGATCATGTTAAGCCTCATACTTCTTTTCCGTATTGGTGTCAATGGATGATTTTAAGTATATCTTGTTTGCTTACTGTTCTCTGAATACGTACTTATCCTTGTGATGCTCTGCACTTTGCAACTTGTGACACAGATGATTTTTACTGGTGACAAAAAAAAATTAAATACTGAAAATATCGCTCTGAACAAATTTGTTGGTGATACAAACAAGTCAATAATTTCAGAGATCAGCGTAGTCGAAGTCGTCGTCAAAATCTTCGTCGTACTCTATCTCACTTACGTGGCTATGATAATGTGGTATTGAGCTCCACGGGCTGTCGTCGAGCACGCTCCGGAATCGGCTCCGTAGGAACGTGACGGCCTCCCATGCCGCCATCTGCTTCGCCTCCTGCACCGACGACCCGACCTGCGTGAAACGCAAGCAATCGCGGTTGAGAACGTTGACACTCACGGTTACGGCATGGTAGTCGGCGGCGCCATCATCATCGGCCTCCGTGGTCGTCGTCGACGTCGTACGACGGCGGCGGCGGCTAGCGCTGTAATAGTAGGTTGGCTCTTTGGTTGCTCCCATGCCGTTGATGACCTCCCATAGCAGCAGCGTGGCTCCGAACTCCGTCACCGGCGGTGGCACCATGCTGGCTTCGACGCCCAGGTAGCGCTAGCTGCAGCATGATGCACTCCCATGGCGACGACGGCTTATGGGGTTTTTGCTGGTATCTACGGAAGCAGCTGGTCCGCATGTCGTACGATTGCACCGACCGCAATGCCCAGGAGGAGCTGATCACCGGACCATCACCGGCGGCGACGGTGACCACCATGTTCCTCTCGTCGTCGACGTACCAAATCTGATTCTCGGTGATCTTGCCGCCGGCGCCGGACGACGTGACATCGAACGCTTGGCAAGAAGCGTCGCCGATGAAGAGCGCGTGGCCACGCAGCCTGGGGATTCTCGTCAGCCGCGTCTTCTTTCGCCAGGATCCCCACGTCTCGAGTCGTGCTCCTCGACCACGTACACCTTGAATCTAGATGTGTGGTAGCGCGCCGCGGCGCGGCCGCCACCGGTGTCGGGGACGCGGGCTCTGCCGAAGTCTCTGGAAACTACTAGAACCTTCCCCATCGTGTGGCAGGCAACCAGGTAGAACTCGGTGCGGCCAAACGCCGGCGCCTGCTTGTCGACATGCGTCCACCGCCACTGGTCGCTGGGCAAGTGCGAGTAGTGCTCGATGTCCGCGTCGTCGAAGGCGAAGATCTCCTCCGCTTCGGTGACGGCGTACAGCTTCCCTTCCAAGAACACGATGTCTTGGATGTAGAACACCCTGCTAATGTCCGACCAAGCATTATCATCATCATCGGGATGATGTTTCTTCTTCTTCCTCCCCGGGAGGTGGCAGACGAAGATCTTGCCTAGCCGCGCCACGAACCTCGATCGGGTCGGCGCGGGCGATCGCAGCTACCGTGATGCCGCCGCCGCCGTCGCCGTCGGCGGCGGCGGGGGATGCGGACATGACGACCTTGGTGATGGTCTCTGGGTTGGTCCACATCGGCAGCTTCACGGTCGCCATGGTGAAAGGGTTGAGGAGGAAGGGCTGGTAGGGAGGAGGCGACGACGTGGGCACCATCGCCAGCCAGTTGTCGAACGAGCCCCGGCAGACGACGTCGGTGGCGCCGCCGTGGAGGCTGCAGACGCGGTGGATGGCGGCGTCGTGGAGGCTGACGCAGTGGCCAGGGGCCACGAGCCACGGGACGGCGGGGCGCGGGTAGTGCGAACGCTCGGCGGCTCGCCATGCTCGGCACACGGCGGCGAAGCGGAGGCGGTCTCCCAGGGCGGGGAGCCTCTGCAGGACGTCGCGGAGCAGGTCGTCGGGGAGGTCACACCACAACTGTCACGCCCCGAGCTAGTCCCGACCGGAACTAACCCGTGACGCTCCAAACTAACCTGTTAATCGATACCAGTCCCAGGAAACAGTGCTGGTATCACAGGGAGACAGAATATCACAGCAACAGAAGTCTCTTTATTATAGAGTAGAAGTACAGTCATGTTGGGCTGCGGACAGATCCCGAGCTCACAACTGCATTACAAAAGGAAAGCGGAAGCCAGGACTTGGACCAAACAATCACAGGCGCGACTTGGGAACTAGGCCGAAACCCTAAAACTCATCGTAGCCGGCTTGCTCCTGGAAGAACTCCTCATCAGCAGGATCTGCTTCATCTTCTTCAGCAACTGGGGGGGGATATTTATATAGAGCAAGGGTGAGTACGGGGGTACTCAGCAAGCCATGGGAATTAAGTGTTTAATGCAAGCTTCAAGGAAAGGCTGTTTGTTTTTGCGATTGGTTTTATTTGAACTCTTTTCTAAAAGCAACTAAGTGAGTGCTTCTCAAACGACACGGATGAGGCAGTGCGTCTCGTCCGGTCGGAGTATGTGCAATGTATCAGTCTTTAGATTTTGAAACAAGGTTGGCACCCGGCCAAAAGCTTTTTAAACGGCCACCCGGGCCAACACCTTTCAAACGGCCACCCGGGCCAACAACTTTTAAACGGCCACCCGGGCCTAGCTGATCCCATCAGCTGCAGGTTTTCCAAACATAGAACCCAGTTTCTCAACAGCAATTTCACAAGCAGTAGTCAAACAAAACTACGCTAGGAATCACCTCACATCCGCCCATGACCGTGGGCACGGCTGTTCGAACAGTTTGTTAACCTCTGCAGAGGGGGTACACTTTACCCACATGACATTACTAACCCGGATCATCCAGCCCGTGGGGATCAGCCACGTCGGGAGACCTCCAAGCTTTCATGACAAGGCATTTCGAAAGCCGACACAGGTTTACCATATGCCGACGAGAGGGGTCCCAGACCAACAACAGGTTAGGTCCCAGACCATACTGTGCCAGGAAGCCCAGGGGTCCTCCCCGACACCACCCCGGCGAATCCACATGTCTCTCGGCATCAAGGCTCCCCTGATAAGCTAGTTACTCAGCCAGGGGTGTCCCATTCCACCCATGTGGTCGTACTTGACTTATGTTTGGATGAAATTCCAAGGAATCGGTCCTTAAGTGCGAGAGCGGGAAACCGTACACCCGGTACGTTCCCCGGTCCGCGGTTTTGGAAATTCATTTAGTTCACAAGCACCGACCCAAGTGTCGGGTTTTCCAAGTCTTTTGTAAAACTCCAG